CTAATATGCTGTAATGGCCGTGTTTTGTGAACCAGAACATCACAGATCGGACAATATTTGCTACTCTCCAAATACCGAACAATGCAAGTTTTGCAAACTGAAAAAGAAAGAAAATATGTTAATAGACTTAAAAATTTAATGGGATGAAAATTTAATGGTCTTGAAAATTTAATGGGTTGAAAATTTAATGAACTTGGAAATTTAATGGGTCGAAAATTTAATGGTCTTGAAAATTCAATAGATTGAAAATTTAATGGACTTGGAAAAAAAAAAAAAGAAAAGTCAAACGACGATATACGCGCAACAGTCCGTTTGTATTTACCGTCAAACTTGAGCATAAGTGAATTCCAGGCATCGAATTTGATCTAAAAAGATGACCTACAATCTGTTGTTACCTGGGTCAAGGAATGTCTCGTTAATTTTAACGCCGCTAAAAAGAAACCGATCTTTTTTAATCGTCCCAGCAAATGCCTCCTGTTCTCCATCAGCATGGTTGATGCTAGACTTCACTCATTGCAACGTTTTTCGCTGACATGAAGTGGAAAATTATATTGAATCAATTGCTAGATCTGCTACTAGGAAAGTTGGTTCACTGTTTCGTGCTAGACAATCTTTCTCGCCAGAATCTTACTCCTTTTATAAGTCTACTATTCATCTATGAATTGTATATTGCTGTCACATCTGATCTGGTGCTTCTGCTACGTCTTTAGAGATTCTTGATAAAATCCAATACGGATCCAATACAGTAATACGGATTGAAAAAAATAACATTATATATATATATATATATATATATATATATATATATATATATATATCAGTCACGTGCGAAACAAAATTATGCGCTCAGTCACTACCAACATTTAAAAACGTTATGGAATTTTATTCCAACCCACCTTCACTAACTCCTAAAGAAGGCAGCGAAGGAAAGCGAGAAGAAAGGACTAAGCCCCAATTGTAATAAAACAGAATGCATGGTTGTTAGCAAAAAGGACAGCCTAACATAAAAATTACAAATTGAGAATACCAAAATCAAACTCGTATAACAATTTAAATATCTGGAAAGTGTTTAAACAGAAATCAGAAAGTGCGACGCTGAAATTCGAAGACAGTGGAATAGCAAAAAATGCGTACCGAAAACTAAGTAAAGTATTAAGAAACAGGAAAATTTCGTTGGAATCAAAGAAAGGAGTAGTGAACTATTATGCAAAATCAGTCGTCTTAAATGGCAGTGAATGCTGGACAATTTCCTCCCAGATGAAGAAGAGACTTGAAGTAACAGAAATGTGGTTCTATAGAAGGATGTTGAGAATAAGTTTTAGATAAAATGGAAACAAAAAGTACGCTTATATTTTACATGAGGGAGAGACGGTTGACATTTCTAGGCCATAAAAGAGGAAAGATGGGTTGAAAAATTTGATACTCACAAGACAGATTGAAAACAAGATGGGCCGAGGAAAACAGAACATAACCTACCCGGGGAGTTTGTGTAAATGGATGACAGAACAGGGTTTAGGAGAGATAACAACAACAAAAAAAAATATTAAGATCTACAAAAGACAAGAAATTGCGGAGAGACATATTAAACAACACTGTAAAGGGAAAACAAAGAAGGAGAAGAAGGAGAAGAAGAAGAAGAAAAAGAAGAAGAAGAAGAAGAAGAAGAAAAAGAAGAAAATGAAGAAAAAGAAGAAGAAGAAGAAGAAGAAGAAGAAGAAGAAGAAGAAGAAGAAGAAGAAGAAAATGTTGTTGCGTGATGACGACTTTCCCTGTCTTTGTTGTTTTTCTGTTCGCTACGTTTCCCACCGATATTTATGGAATGTCTGTCATACTTTGAAGCGTCGAGGTGTGTCTGTGTGTGTGACGGGGGTACAGTGCTATCAGAACCAGTGCAAGGGTCTCATCCCCACCCCCGAATCTTTGATATGGGGCTTCCCATTCTACCACATCTCAAGGTAATATTCATACAAAATACAAATTTTATTGTGACCTAATTATGTACAATAATGGATCAGATGCAATATAGGTGAACAATCCAACTAGAAACATTGAAAATAAATACAATGTATCTAAATACAAAATTAGAGACATGTCATAATACATCATTCCATCTTAAATCAACAATGTCTCGCGGTAATTTTTAGCATCAACTTGAGATTCTTCTTGTTAAAAAAGTTGAATAATTTTAACACATTCAATAGTGCATTTTATAAAGTGTTTTTTTTTATTAATCGACACTAAATCTGTTTCATTTTTAATAATATTTGGCTTCAAGAACATTTACTGCTTAAATACAGATCGGTGCTGGTGCAAGGATCTTACTCCCCACCCCTACCGAATATATAAGCCCCTAACTCTACCACATCTCGATTTTTATAAGGTAGTATTCATATAAAATACAAATTTAGAGACATGTCACAATAGATCATTCCATCTTAAATAAATCAACAACGTTTTGCGGTAATTTTTAACATCAACTTGAGATTCTTCTTGTTAAGAAGGTGAATAATTTCACACATTCAACACCATACTTATTATAAAACCCAGGTTGTGTGTGTGTGTGTGTGTGTGTGTGTGTGTTCGTTTATATATTGGATCGGATTTCCTACATTTTTCAACCGATTTCAATAAAACTTCACAGGACTACGTAAAATTACCTTGTGGTGGTTCTGACAGTGCCAAAAATGGGAAAAACACAATTGTTTTTGCACAAAATCAATTTGAAAACATGATTAAAAGGCATCGCTGTTTCGAGAATGAAAGGGGGACAACTCATATCGAGTTATACTTATAAAACCCAGGCTGTTTGTGTGTGTGTGTGTGTGTGTGTGTGTGTGTGTGTGTGTGTGTGTGTGTTCGTTTATATATGGGATCGGATTTCCTACATTTTTTAACCGATTTCAATAAAAATTCACATTTTTTTAGCAGGTAGTGTTTCTTATTGTCTTGCACACTTTTTTTCTTTATTTTTACATTCAGAATGCTTTAAAAATTCCATTTACAAGACATTTGTTTACAATAAAATTCTATTCAATCGATAGACTCATAACGATTGAAAACAATGTTTTTGTTTGGGTTTGATCAATTCGTAAAAAAAAAAATAATAATTAAGACATGCGTGTCCGTCAACCTTAAGCAATAATCTTTGTCAATTTTATTTTTCAATCTTTATGATGGTCGGTACTTGATCTATCTCTTACTGTTACATACCCGGGCAACGCCGGGATCTACGGCTAGTTATGGATAAAAACAGTGAATTTTATTAAGTGTTTTCTCAAGACTTAACATGACCGAAACAAATTCACGTATTTGAACGGATTAAAATGGCGTCAAAATTCGTGAAAAGTTTGTCCTCCTTTAATAGTTGTGCTTAGTTTAATCTGCAATGTATATAAATGTAGGCAGAAAAAAAACTAAATGTTGATAAGATAGCGGGGATCACGAAACACTTGCTGCGGCCCCCAATAAGGCTTGAGTCCCTCGGTCAGGGAGTTCGGGGTTAATACGCACCGGCCCCCGAGTTCTATGAGTTCGGAAGGCCGAAATACTTTTATGGGAGGGAAAATGCATCGACCTCCCTCACTTCAGGCTGTCATTTTAAAATACAAGTGTTTAGTAATCGAAATGTTGTAAAGGAACAAAGCATATCAATGTAGAGGAAAATCGGTCAAATAAATCAATAGACAGGCTGAAATGTCTGATCTTGAATGATTATTGGTGTTGCCAGTTCAGCCACGCTCTCTTGGTCACCATCCTGATCGCCTTTGTCGTAATATGCGGCCATATAACCACAAACCAACCGATGCTCTGATGAACAAGTGCGGTCGGGAGCCGCACCCTCCTGTTGAAAAGTCACGCGAGTCGATAACAACGACTTGACTCTACTCACGAGTCTAACTTTGTTCACCTGGGCGTGAGCTGTTGAATCGGGGCGTTAGAGTTAGTGGAAAAAGGTGAGGATGGTAGGACAAGTGTTGTAAGTGGGTGAGAGAAAGAAGAAGAAGAAGAAGAAGAAGAAAAAAGAAGGAGAATTATAAAGAAGAAGAAGAAGAAGAAGAAGAGAGAAGGAGAATTATAAAGAAGAAGAAGAAGAAATAGCAACGAAAATAAAAAAGAGAAGAAATTAAAGAAAACGGAAAAGAAAGATCACCAGAATAAGAAAGAGAAAAGAAAGAATAAGAAAACAGACGTGAAGAAAAGAAAGAAAATAATAAGAAAAAACAAATAAATATTGGGTTGGTGTATAATTATCAGGCGTTTCTTAAACAATATTTTTTATGAAAAAAGAAACATAACAATTCAACCTTTTTAAATGATTATTCCGGAGCGTATGATAATCGACACGCATTTTTATAACCTGAAAATAAAATATTTTTCTTATTAAAAAACGTAAACAAAACAGCAATTTTTATTAACAAATAACTCGCCTAGAAAAACGTCTAATAATTATGCACCAACCCAATACTAACAACAACAACAACAATAATAATAATAAAGGGGATGAAATGAAAAAGAAGTTACGAAAGAGGAAAAGGAGGTAAAAGAAAGAAAGAAATGGAATGAGAGAATGCAAGCAAAAAAAAAAAAAAGGAAAAAGAAAGAAAAGATTTTGGAAACTCTAAAACAAGTCAACAAACATAGGAGAAAGAAAATGTTGGCATTCTGACGAAGAGAAGAAAAAGTGAAAAATATTAATAATAATAAAAATAAAAAGAACGAGAAGAAAAAAGAATTACGAGAAAAAGAAAAAAAGAATAAAAAGCGAATAAGAAGATAAAGTAGAAAAAAAAGGAAAAAAGAAAAGGAAAAAAGTAGTGAAGAAAAGAAAGAAGAAACGGGAGGAACAAATAAATAAATAAAAAGAAAAGAAAAAAAGAAGTGAAGAAAAGAAAGAAGAAACGGGAGGAATAAATAAATAAATAAAAAGAAAAAAGAAAGGGAAAAATAAGTGAAGAAAAAGAGAGAAATAATAATAGAAAAAAAAAGAAAGAGAAGAAAAAGAATTATTTATAAAAAAATGATGATGATGATGATGATGATGATGATGATGATGGAAAAGAAAGAAGAGACAAGAACAAAAGAGTAAAGAGAAATAATAATAATAATAATAATAATAATAATAATAATAATAATAATAATAATAATAATAATTTTGGGTGATTGAGAAACCGGTGTTTGGTGTTTCTGCTCTAATTCTCAAGCCGACCAACAGTTTCACGCACAGATACCCGACCCCCCCGGACGCCCACGGCAAGTGCAACAAAGCAATGAATTCCGATGTTGAACTCACTCTGCGGCTTCAATTGCATTCCTACCGACAACTTTATCAATTCACCATGGAAGAAGTTAATCGACTTGAAAAAAGGTTTGGCTAACAGTACAGGTAGGTAAGGAAGGGAGACCAAAATAATGAAAGAAAGAAAGAGCTCATGTTTCAGGGGGTTTAGTCAGCAGCGTCTTTATAGATGCCGGGTGGCATTGAGTTACGCCCCTTACAGAATGCCAACGGCCCCTTCTTTAAAAAAACAAAAAAAAAACATTTTTTTCTTGCATGTTTGCGTTGTTTTAGAGCTTGTAGGGTCTTTTCTTTCTTTTTGTTTTTGTTTGCTTTCTCTCATTCCATTTCTTTCTTTCTTTCTTTCTTTGAATTCTTTCTTTGCTTTCTTTCTTTCTTTTCTTCCTTTCTTTGAATTTTTTCTTTGCTTTCTTTCTTTCTTTTAATTCTTTCTTTCTTTGCTTTCTTTCGTTCTTTCTTTGCTTTCTTTCTTTCTTTCTTTGAATTCTTTCTTTGCTTTCTTTGAATTCTTTCTTTTCTTTCTTTCTTTGAATTCTTTCTTTGCTTTCTTTCTTTCTTTGAATTCTTTCTTTTCTTTCTTTCTTTGAATTCTTTCTTTGCTTTCTTTCTTTCTTTCTTTCTTTCTTTCTTTGCTTTCTTTCTTTCTTTGAATTCTTTCTTTGCTTTCTTTCTTTCTTTCTTTGCTTTCTTTCTTTCTTTCTTTGAATTCTTTCTTTGCTTTCTTTCTTTGAATTCTTTCTTTGCTTTCTTTCTTTCTTTGAATTCTTTCTTTCTTTACTTTCTTTGCTTTCTTTCTTTCTTTGCGTTTTACTTACGCTTCTCTTATATATATAATGACCATATTAATCTCAGCATTATATATATATATATATATATATATATGTGTGTGTGTGTGTGTGTGTGTGTGTGTGTGTGTGTGTGTGTGCATGTGTGAGTTTGTGCGTGTGTGTTTATTTGTGTGTGTAACGCTGAGCTTAAGATACTCATCTCGAACACTGAGTCATTTGGATGATCAGTTTTATATATATGTATATATATATGTATGTATATATATATGTATATATATATATATATATATATATATATATATATATATATATATATATATATATATGTGGGGGGTGTTGTAACTTAGAAAGGGTTACACAATGAGGACTAACAAAACGGAGGTTGGAAATGCAATGGTAATCTTTATAACATCAACAAAATACAATACTCGCCAGTGGCATGAAGTAGGTAAACAACTGCTACTGGTGCACTACTAAGACAGCATATTACCTCCCCCACTTACAATAGTGTTCAACATATTTATGAGGATTTGAACATATCCATTAGTGTTCATAGATACATAGGTATATAACACTCTTCATATAAAAAGATGACATCTAAGCATCAATAAAAAATGTATTTCAATCTTGAGTCGTACGTTTAGAATCAGGCTGACCTGTACGGATATTTTAGGTTAGTGATATTGAAATCTATTCTGTCAACATAGCATGTAACCACCACAATTATTTCAAATTCCGGATCGATACTGATCGATTAATTTACTGTTTCAACCTTTTGTGGCATATTTAAAGCCGATACATATTTAGTGTTACATGAAGAATTCTATTTTTGAAAGTGAAAATTGCATTAACAAATTTTTGAGAATAAAAATGATCTCTTTAGGTACAGGTTCTACTGTTTAACACATCTTCGCAGCGGTAACAACACACACACACACACATGCACACAAGCACACACACACACACACACACACACGTGTGTTTGTGTGTGCGACAAAGTGGTAAAAGGTTTTCTGTGATGTGTTCTATCCTTTAGGAAGAGACATCATCGGATAGAGAGTCAGTTTTTATCCTAAATTTGTTGTTGATGCATAAAATGTATATATCGTTTTCATATATATATATATATATATATATATATATATATATAGCATAAAACGCATTTTTTCTAAAAATAATAGTCAAAATAAGGGTGCGTATTATGCACAACTACAAAATGTTTTTTACAAAATTGCCGTAAAATAAAATAAGAATTATCATAAAACTAAATTAGAATAATATTATTCTATGTTTAAATAAGAGTAGGAAACACTGGCTGTAATGAAATTGGAGAGGTACAATTTATAGGGTTTGATTACCAAACAAGGGGGTGCGTATTATGCATGAGTAGAAGCATTTTTCCACACTTTCAGCACAATTTTAGGTGTGCGTATTATGGATGAAGGCGTATTATACATGGGGAATTACGGTATATATTTAAAAGAAAAGATGGTCTATGTGTACTTCTTATAAGATGTAGATTTAATAAACCTGTTAATGAAAATGATAACAATAGTGTCAATAATAATTAGCCCTTTGAATAAATTGAAGTCTTTTTCTCGAAAATTTCGAGTTAAAATCTTTCTCTTCGTCTTTCAATTTAGTTTCAAATTTCATTAACCGGCCTATTAAATCTCTCTCTCTCTCTGCCTCGCTCTCTGTCTCTGTCTCTCTCTATATATATATATATATATATATATATATATATATATATATATATATACGTACATATATATATATATATATATATATATATATATATTGTTATATAGAAATAAAGTGTCACTGCCAACACTGGAGTTTGAACATAGATCACCAGAGAGCAAACACAGGCGATCCCATTTTGAATAAGTAGATCACGTGATGGTAAAGGAAATATATATATGGAAACTAGCGTGGCGTCTAAGGGATCACTATCCGGATTACTTCGGTAATGTGCTTGTCAAACTCTCTGCCTCTGTGTAGAGAGGAACCCAGACGAGGCTAGTGGTTAGAAGCGCCGACTGACACCAATTCAGTCGGGTTTCTATCCTAGCTAGAGGCAACCGGATGCCACACTGATGAGCTGTAAACAGCGAAACAGTCTGTCTGTGGATGACGTTATATATATATATATATATATATAGTAGGTCGATATCCCAGAGACAAACAAGCAATAATAAACAATATTTATTGTATATTATTAGGCCTTTTTACCAAATAGGAGTATGATGAGAAAAGATTTAAAAATCGGAATTTTCTAACACGCTTTTGTCTTTTCCCAATGACTTTTTGAGAGAATTGTTTTTTCTGCCTGTGTCATATTTACTGAAATGATCGAGTATTTCTGGACTGGTTGTTGCCACAACTAGAGTTGTTGAGGGTTTGTAGATGATTTTTGTGGAAACTGCATTCATTGAATTATACCGAAACCCCTATTTAAGCGTATAATGTGTGAATTTAATTTAAAAATGTATTTTAACTCGGACATTAGGCTAATGATGACGCTAAAAGCACTCATCTAAAGTTATCAATACTATTGTCCGGTTTTTTTTTTTTTGGCATGTGCTGCTAAGGTACAATTGATGTTGTTATTATGGTCATTAAACCAGAGATGGAACTATACTTTTAACCATTCTATACTTTAGTATATATTAAAATTGAAACAGCTAAATTCTGAGAAGCTGGAATCTTTAAGTTGAAGGAAAAATGGAGAAAGGTTGTGCAACAAAATGGTTCATATTTAGTTGAATAAATATTGAATGTTGTAATTTTGCTTTGTGTTTTAATTTCCCTCAATCGGCATAAACTTTCCGTATAACCCAATGAAATAAATATTTAAGTGTTTTATTTGATCAAATTGACGTAACCGGTAAACTAATCGTCACTCAGATGCTGTAGAGTATCAGCATTACAACTAGTCTAATTCTATAATACAAACCCAATTAGAATCGAGACTCGGCTCTCAGATTTCGAATTCCAAGTCGTTATCCATTACACCACCCGCACATCTAAACTTACATCACTTAAACGGAACACTCAATGGAAAAGTGTCAGAAATTTGGTCAATTGGAGGGATGTAGGCTTCGGTCAGGACAGTGCCAGTTCGACCAGAAATTGATATAGCTTTGTTGGGATGTCCTAGAACAGAGGTCGGCAACCCATTTGCTAACTATCTGCCGACTTGGGCTTTTAAAATCATTCAGTGTGCCAACAGCATACGTATTTTTTATACACGTCAAGGTCAATATACCTGTTCTACAATATATTTTATATAGTAATATATAGTATATATATTTTAGTATATAATAAAATTGAAACAGCTAAATATATTCTTTGCTTTGTAGTAGTTATTGGTTCAAACTTTGTGATGTCATTTGCGCACCATTGGAAATTATTTGGTGTGTCACGTGTTGAACGCGTGCCGTAGCTTGCAGACGCCTGTTGTAGTAATGATTATTTATGAATTTGGTTTAATCCGGAACATAGTTCCTTAAGGGATTTGTAACTATTGGTTGACATGTGCAGCTAAAGTGCAATTGACGTTGTCTTTCATAGTTTTCTTATTATGGTCATTAAACCAACAACACTTTTTTAAACATTATCAAAGATGATTTTTTAAAACTTTTAACTGGATGCCTGGTCAGCACGTTGTGGCCGAATTCATAGTTAATGTTATTGAGTGTTGGCTTCTTTTTAATTAATAATACTTCCATTATTTTTTTAGACATTTTTGCATGTGTAAGTGGCTATTAAATTTGTATTGTCAAAGAGTATATTACAGATGGAGTTTGGTAAGTCTCCATGTGTATTAAAATGAGATCTAATTGAGCTATGGCCAGAGAGATGTAACGTGGGTCATCTTGTTAGGCATTTTGTATCACTGGGGTCGGCAACCTTTTGCTATGTGCCGACTCAGGGTTTTAAAAACATTCAGTGTGCCAACAGCATATGTATTTTTATACAAGTCAAGGTCAATTTACCTGTTCTACAATATATTTTATATAGAAATATACAGTATACATACTTTAGTATATATTAAAGTTGAAACAGTTAAATATCTTCTTTGCCTTGTAGTAGTTATTGGTTCGGACACCTTGATGTCATTTTGCGATGTCATTTGCGACTGAGTGCCACTGGAAACTGCTTGGCATGCTACGTGTTGCACGCGTGCCGTAGGTTGCCGACACCTGTTATTGTATATCTAGTATCCGAGAAATTTCATAAAGTATGTACTTCGACCTTTCTAACCAGACGCTTCCTCTGTAGATAAATGGTATAGCACGTCAGGCTATATGATGGTTCCGTGTGGGATACAGGTTCGATTCC